AATCCCCCGCTGAACGGTGAACTTCGGGAGTGACTTCACCACTGAGCTAAAAGGGTGTCTGGGGGCCATACTCTTGGGGTTTCTCCAGTCTGTCAGGCCAGTAAATCTGGTCTTTTCTTTGTGAGTTAGAATTTTGTTCTACATCCTTTTCAATTCTTATTCTTCACAATAGTTATGCTCTATAAAGTCTCTGCAAACACTGAGTTAGTGAAGACTGTCCCAGCCTTGCTTAAACTTACCAACTCAGCTGGGAATGTGCACGTTGGGCAACTAAATTTTTTACTGCTCTGTGCATGCATAGGTGCACTAATGGCCATGAAAGTGCTGTATTGATTTTGCAGTTACAAATACATTTTAACAAACAACCAGATTTGCAATACAGAAGCCATGAATGAGGATTCTATGTATGTGTATGTGTGTGTGTGCATGTGTGTGTGTGTGTGTTTAGCTTAAATGGAACACTGTAGACGTCACTAAGACAATTCTGAATTGCTGAGGATAGGAAAAGTCTTCATGCCCAACTTGGGTTATTGCCACTGTGATTGCCCCAAACACAAACTCAGTTCATGCCAGATGGATAGACCTAATATTACTATGAAATCCTAGCACAGCTGATTTACTCACGGCCATCCACAGTTCTGGCCTCGAGATGCACAAGGTCTGGTTCCTTGTTCGACCCCATCACAGACCTAAAAAATGGAGAAACATGAAAAGGAATGTTAACATTAATGATCCTCACGTTCCTTAGAGAAACTGAGAAACCAAGCTCTGCCCATAGACTATTAATGTCCATGGGATTCTTTTTTTTTTTTTTTTTGGTCTGGAATTATTATTATTTTTTTATTGTGCTTTAGATGAATGTTTATAGCTCAAGTTAATTTCTCATTCAAAAATTTATATATATAGTGTTTTGTGACATTAGTTGCAATCTCCACAATGTGATAACACACTCCCTCTTTCTACTCAGGTTCCCTGTGCCCGTTCGTCCAGTCGCTGTCCCTTCCTGCCTTCTCGTCTTGCTTTTGGATGGGAGTTGCCCATTTGGTCTCATATATTTGACTGAACTAAGAAACACGTTCCTCACGTGTGTTATTTTTTGTTTTGTAGGCCTGTCAAATCTTTGTCGGAAAAATGGGCTTTGGGAATGGTTTCAGTTCTGGGTTAGCAGAGTATCTGAGGGCCATAGTTTCAGGAGTCCCTCCAGTCTCTGTCAGACCAGTAAGTCTGGTCTTTTTTCATGAATTTGAATTCTGTTCTACATTTTCTTTCTGTGTCCGCAGGATTCTAAAACCACAACCTTGGAATATACTCACTGTATTTATTTATATAGTGTGATAACACTGAAATCTCCTTTTGATGATGCTCAGGCATAACTTGGGCAAGACTATTATGTGTAATTAGCTCAGCCTTGTAAATAAGTCCTACCTGTCACTTCTGTGGCCTCCTGCAACAACCCTAGACAGTATATTTAACTTTCAAGACTTATCAGGCAGACCCCAGGCATGTTGTTATAGCTGGGTGACTTGAGCAGTAATTTCCATAGCAGATTGATCTAATTAACGCTTCCATTTGGTATTTGCAGAACTGTCCACTACTACCCCATAGCGAACCCTGTGATACAACCAGTATATCAGTAACTACAACACAAAGCAACCATTCTCTGTTTTGGTGAACCAGAGAGGGGAGAAATGTAGGCATGCCTCACTTCATGATGTGTGCCTTATGTGTAAATAAAATAAAACCCTACTTAAAATGCCTTGGAGTCATACATTATTTAGTGTAATCTTGTAGTGAGCCATAATAAATAGAAAATAATTATTTTGTTACAAAAATATCATGAGCAATCATACTCTTATCTCCAGGACTTTTATACAGCAAGATTAATTAAGCTTGGACCATCTGTATGTTTTTTCGTTTTTATCAAGATTTGCACAGCTCTTATTTAATTGGATCCATTTCTATACGGAAAATAGTCACTCAGTATGCCTCCAAACTGGTCCCTTTGCCTACCCCCAAGCCATTCAGCACAGCCATCGAACCTGTGCTACAATATACAGATGTTAAAAATGCTCACCACCTTCAGGACTCAGTGTGATACACAAGACTCTACAATGACAGGCTCCATCTTGCTTTTCCTGCCTCACTTCCTGCCACTGCCACTATAGCCTATGTCTCAGCCACATGGAAAGATTTGCTATTCCTCAAAAGTGCCACATTCATTTTCTCACCCGTCTGTAAGCCCCTGTTAGCTTGAAATGCTTGACTTGAAATGCTCTTCTCCAGCTTCACCTAATCCTCTTTTACTCCCACATTAAGAAACAACTCACAAGTCATTTCCTCTGTTAAGATATTTCCCAGTTACACCGGGTAAAATACTTTTATCCTACCAATAAAGATTTGGGGGTGGGGGAGCATAAATCCCTAAATCCTATAATATACCTTATCACAATTTAGTGTAAATAATTATTTTTGTGTTTTGCCTAATGTGAAAACAAGCAACCCTTACCCTAAATGTGCATGCATACAAACACAGAGATACATCAAACTGGGAACTACTGGAGGAATTTATCTTAAAACTCTTTATATTCGTATCATGGTTGCTGGCATATAATAGAAAA